TTGTGCGGGAACTTTGCAAGTTAATTAAGCAAATAAATGAAGGTTTTTACAGTCTGGAATGGTTCAAAGCAGCAGGACATATCTTGCTTTATTATTAATTCAAACCACAAAAACCTACCACTACTCTTTACACAGGCATTGTTTCAAATCTTTAAAAAAACTTAAAACAAGAGATCTGGTCGGGTCCATCACCTGGACCCGACCAGATCTCCCTAAAACTACTCAAATGCGTACGTCTTGAAAACTCCGATATTCTAAGTCTTCTGTTTAACAAGTGTTTGTATCACTCATTTACGCCCTAATCAATGGAAACTTGCAAACATAACACCTATCACTAAATTACCAAACCCAAGTAACTGGTCAGACTTCCGTCCAATCTCACTCACATCGCACCTCTGCAAGACATTAGAAAGAGTTGTTGCCAAATTTATTATCCACCATACTCACACCATCTTAGAAAACAACAAACAATATTGGTTCGTTCCAAGTAAAAGCACAATGGATGCAATTGCATGTGTCATGAGGACTAGCATTTTGCTAAAGAAAAAAACAAACAATTTAATTGCAATATTATTCGACTTTGCTAAAGTCTTTGACGTAATTGATCACAAGCTTCTTCTTACCAAATTAACAATATACCTCCCTAAATGGCTTATTTCCTGGATTACATTGTACCTACAGACCAGATATCAGCGAATTTATACTAATAGCATAGCAACAGAATGGCACCCAATTAAAGAGACAACAAATCAGATGAAAAGTATTTCGAGTGCACTGCCTTGGGTGGAGTCACCCAAGGCAGTGCACTCGGACCCATTCTTTTTATATTTTTCATGCTCCATATAAACAATATATTTAAACGCAATACTGAACTTAACAAACTTGCTAATGACATCCTTGCATATATTGTTGGAGACTAAGCCTACTCAACCCTACCACAGAAAAAATGTGACAAAGTTAATAACTGGTGCATTAAAAACAAAATGTTATTAAACATAACAAAATGCAAAATCATGAGCATATCTAGTAACAAACTCGACACACGCCCACCACCAATTGTTTTCATCAACTCCAAAGCTCTTGAATATGTAACCTCATATAAATACCTAGGATTAGATTTAAATATTGAAATAAACACCAACCAACAATAGCATTGCATCAAACCCTATTTGTTCTCAGCTCAGTACCTAACTAGAAGTCTAAAAAAACTAGGTTTTTATAGCAAATTACTAGTCGATCACTTGATCCATAGTGCACCATTACTGTGTGCAAGCAGTATCAAAATGAATCACCAAAAACTGTAAATACATCTAAAAACGCTAAAATTTATAGACATTTGTCCAGACATCGCCAGAACTAAATATAACATTGAAAACACCAACACATATATTGACAGTATATTTATAAAAATCCTAAAACTTATTTTAAAAAATCCAAATTATCCGCTAAACATAAAGACACAAAATAAATTTAAAACAACAACAAGACAAAATATCAACTTCGGTTCAAGATAGCTACTGCAAATACGGCTTACAAAAGTAGTTTTACCCAAAGAACATTGGGTCTTATAAGAGATGGGAAACATAACTTGTATACTAGTTGATCAAAGCAACTACAAATTTTTGAAAAAAATTCTGTAATTTGTAAATTTTTAGACCATTGAATTTGAATAAAAGATATATATATATATATATATATATATATATATATATATATATATATATATATATATATATATATATATATATATATATATATATATGTCAGTAGTATATATATATATATATATATATATATATATATATATATATATATATATATATATATATATATATATATATATATATATATATATATATATATATATATATATATATATATATGTATATATATATATATATATATATATATATATATATATATACATATATATGTCAGTAGATTTTCTTTTTAAACGTCTTCGCTTTCAACAAGGCTGCAAGCAACCACTAATTAGTGTTGGAAGTTACTGAATACTGAAAGAGAAAAGATGAAGATTGTAGAGCAAGATAACAATTGAAAGACAACTTAAAAGATTGCAAATTATATGAATCAGGAAAGCAAGATGAAGGAAGCAAATTCCGAAGAACTGATGTTAGAGGAAAAAAAAATAGACGAATAAGATTTTTTAGAGCACTTAGGAACAGTCACAAAAAAAGGATGAGACTTATTTGAATGATGAGTAACACGAGAATAAATTTTAGTAGATGACACAAGAGACGCTAGCTCTTTAGAGCAGTGCCCACTGTAGTGTTTGTAGAAAAGAGAAAGAGAAGCAACATTACAACAATGTGATAATAGTTGCAGGTTGGCTGCAAGAGCATGCCCAACTATCTTTACAGCGCGTTTTTGCACCTTGTCTAAAAGAGAAAGGGCATCATTAGAAGATCTGTCCCAGATATGGTAACAGTATTCCATACAAGGCCGGATTTGATATTTATAGAGATAAAGAATAGAATCCGGAGTAAGAAAGTGTCGAGTTCGATAAAGAGATGCAACCTTAGCAGATGCTAATTTTGCAATGAATTTGATATAGGGTTTCCAAGAACGATCGGAAGTAAAAGTTAATCCTATAAGGGTAGATGTCTCATCGAGTACATTATTGTTCATAAATATAAAGGTTCATGAATATAAAGGTTTAAATTATTGCGATAAAGATTGGCTGAAAAAAAATTGAGTTTTATCTGAATTAAAGTTCACCAGCCACTGTGAGCCCCATGCTGTAGCAGAAGTGAGATCCTTTTAAAGCTCAAACGCCCCCTCCAAACAATCAGAGAGTGTTGGCTTTTTATCATGACAAGAATAAATGGTGGTATCATCAGCGAACAATGTCACCTTAGATGTGAGAATATCTGGAAGATCGTTAATGTAAATTAAAAAGAGTAAAGGGCCAAGAATTTGAGCAACCCCTGAGGTTACAAAATAAGAAAAAGAGCGCTGTTCATCGAGGACAACTTTTATATTATGATTGGAAAGTAAGGATTCAATAATCTTAAAGATGTTTCCAGATACATTGTAAGAAAAAAACTTATCGAGAAGACCAGCATTATCAGAAGACCACTTTATCAAACGCTTTAGAAATGTCAAGAGCGATGACCTTAATCTCTCCACCTTTATCTAATGCACAATAAAACCTATCGGTTATTACTGTTAGCCGTAGTTATTACTGTCAGCCGTAGAATGAGAAGATGGAAATCCATATTGATGATCAGAAAGTAAGTTATTAGATTTCTACTTAAAAGCCATCACAAAGAAAATCACGGGAAGAGTCCTAGTCACCTTTAAGGTAGTTGTAAAATGTGCAATGATAGGGGGGTTCTGATGATAAAGAAGAATGAGATAATAGTTTTAAAGAGATCAAACTGTGATCAGAGGCACCGAAGGGTGAATGTGGAGAAATTGAGCACTGACTAGGAACAGAAACAAGACATTAGTCGAGTAGAGAAGGTAAATGATTTAGGTTGTCTGAAAAGCGAGTTGGAAAGTTGAGTCTTTGAGTTAGGGGTTGAGAAAGGGAAAAGTTTAATGCCTGCAGAGTCACTTACACTAGAACCAAGCCATTCAGGGTGATAAATACTAAAGTCACTGACAACAACAATATTGGCTGATATATAAAGAGAGAGTGCTTGGTCAATATGATCAGAAAAAACATCAAGAAGAGTGCAGTTTTAAGATGAAGGAGAATGATATAGAACAAAGAGAAAGGCGATAGAGTGAAGTGGTGCTAAATGAAAGCACATAAAAGTATAGTCTGTGGATTCAAACCTAGTTTTCCGACAAATTGGTGAATTCTTACGAATGTAAATGCCCAGACCAAGCATGTGTTTTACCTTTGCACATTTGAAGTTTTTTACCTTTGCACATTTGAAGTTTTCAGGAAAAACCCCTTTAAAGATAAATTTAAAATATGTAAGAGTAGAATTTTTATAAAACTAATTGATTTAATAAAGACATTATTGCTACTAACATCATCAGCACCCGGACTCTCATTAGGTTTTAGTAAAGAAACTGAGTAATCATAAAAAAGAATCATAAAAAATATAAAAACAGTTCTAAGACAAGATTGCATTTTTGCCAATATTTGTAAAACCTTTTGGTGCATTTCTGCACCGAACGAGTCAAAAGGAAGTCTAATGTTACTAACGAAAAGGGTAGTTAAAAAAAAAAAATCCATCGTTAGCTAACGATTTTTTTCAGGCATATGACCTAGTGAAATTGCCATATTCAATTTCACAAGGTCATAAAAAAAAGATTACATTTGTACTAAATAAAATTGATAAACAAGTTTTTAATGACGTCATTTTTGGTCTAATATAACATAAATAACTTTTCTGCAATACTAGTCTCTTGCATTTGGGTATTATTCCATTAATAATAAAAAATATAGCTTTTATTTCATACTAGCATTACGGACTTATAAAATATGGACCTTGGTAAATCTATTAAACACCGATCATTTCTATACTTATACCTTATTTCAATATTTTTTAGTAAACGGTAGAAAAATGATACATATTGTCTACCGTTTAAAGTTATGAATTAAGAAATAATTTGTAACATAACTTTAAAAAATTTTAAACGCTTCGTTTTTTAGTCGTTGCACAAACCGTATGTTGCCGATGTTGATGTATGTTGAGATGTTGATGTATGTTGAGATGGTGCCATGGAGATGTTGCCGCAAATCAATTTTCAAGTAAAAGTAAAACTGTAAAGCTTGATTTATGTTTTAACATTACATAATTTGAAGTTTACATAAATAGATACTTGCATACACTTTTATTCACATTTTCTGATACAAAAAGTGCTGCGATTCTTTCTTGCCATTAACTTGGGTGTAACACCTATCGTGAGTACCGTGTCAAACCCGGTCGAATGTGCAATCCTATTAAGTTCCTCATTATATTATAATATAATAAAAAAAATATAGCACTTATTTCATAGGTGAAATCAAAACACATTTATCTGAATATATGATATTAATCAAATGTATTTGAAGCATCAACTAAATATTTGATTTTGAAGCAAGTAAATATAGTTTAAATTAATATCATTAAATTAAATATTTACATAAATAATTTCTAAATAGTTTTTAACTTTTTAAAATTAAAAACAATTCAGAAAAACCTATTAATCATTAATATAATCTTCATTTGATTAATATACACCTTTTAAATAAAATGTCCATGATAAATTAGTACCAGAGCCTGCACCTCTTGCGCATGTCACTAAAAGTCTTGCTAAAGACACGGATTTAGAGTCACTTTGATTTCCGTTGAACGAAACAACTATGTTATAACTTTTTTTTGGCTTGATAACTTCTCCTGCTTTTGTTGAAAACAAAGGATTATCAAGGTAAAATGTGAAACTCATTGTTTGTGAAAAAATATTTTTAAATGGAATTTGCGTTGATCCGTTGGCTCTCACTGTAAAAGGGCCCTGAGGCTTAGGTAGCAAGCAGTGTCCAAATAAGGGAAATACATATTCTCCTCCTACAGTTGATGTCAAAATTAAAGAAGTTTCCGAATTACCGAGACGCGAGGGTTCATACGTGACATCAAGACTAACCTCTGTACCACCACCTAAAGATGATGGCGCGTTGACTGTTTTATCAACTATAAAATCTGATGAATCCACCTAAATGAAAAAAACTAGGATTAGATTGTAAATTTGTTTAAATTTTTTACAAAAACTAATATCAAGTATTAAATTTTTATTAAGCCTTAATTCCTCACAGATAAGCACAGCCTACTTTCTACACAATTAAGTGAACTTTTGTTCATCCCATCAGGAGCCATATAAATAGAGCGCCTTTAAAACCTTTTATATAAAACTATCATTATGTTAAAGTTTGATATTAAGGAAACCCAAAAAACAGTTTAATTACAAAGCATCGTCAAGAAGAGAACGATTATCTCGTACATAATTTTGCTTACTGCAGTTAAAATTTTTTTATGGTTTTTCTTGGAATGAGAAAAAACTACGTTGCAAACATATTTTTCTTAAAAAGAGAAAAAAACCCATTTTTAAACACTTTTTCTTGTTTTAAATAACTTCTTGTATTTTAGAATAACATATTAACTTTTTTATATTTACTAAATTAAGTATTTTAGAATAATAAAATATCAACTGTACAAATAAATAAAATATTATTTTAAACTATTAATACTGTTATCTTTAACTACACTGTTATTTTTAACTATCAATAAAAAAAGAAATACCTTAACAGAATATTCCGTTCGAGTACGTGCATAATTAATAAATTTACATGTTTGCACCTGACTAACTCCAAGCGCAGCTGTAAAATGTACAGCTCGTTCAGGAAGAGCAGAATTTGCAACTAGATTTAGATCGTAAATGTAAACTCCCAAATCAAAACTTTGAAGATTCAATCTACCTGTAGTAGTCCCAGACTTTAGTGGAAGATACTCAAAGGTAAAAGATCCCTATAATCAATTAATCAATACATACATATATAAACACACACATATATGCATAAATATGTATGTATATATATATATATATATATATATATATATATATATATATATATATATATATATATATATATATATATATATATATATATATATATATATATATATATATATATATATTAAATATTAAATCATAGTAAATATTTTGTTTAAATTTTCAAATTACCTGATTAAGAATCTAAAACTAAATAATTGCACATAAAATAATTGTACAAGAAAAGCCTTTTAGGTTAAACCTTAGAAAAAAATACTAGCTTATTAAAATAACTGACAAAATAATTTTTATATTTTATTGACAAGCTTTAATATTTAGTCGGTCCTCCTTTACTAATTTGAAATAAGGTATATTTTTTACTAAATAATTTGCTACCTATTTTTTTTTAACTAATAAAGTCCATAAAAGGTTTATTGGATTCAAATCAGGGTTCTGTGAAGGTCATTCTAAAACCTGTATGGCATTTTCATCATAAAAGGTTTCAGCAGCATGTTCGAATCATTGTTTTGTTAAAATGCAAATTTGTTTCCCAAACTAAGTTTTTTAGCAGAGCAAACTAACATTCATAGTTTTAATAATAAATTTATATTTACCATCACTATTCCATGCATTACAACCCTAAACATTACACTTTCACCACCATGTTTAACTGTTTCTTTCAACTCAAATGAACTTAACTCTTCTTTTGTTAAACTCTTTGTGCATCATTTTTTTTTAAATTAAACTTAGATTCATCAAACCAAAAAAGTTTTTTCCAAAATGATACTGGCATTAAAAAAAAACTTCTTTGCAAAATTTCTTTTTGTTAGTGAAATTGTAATTCTTCTTAAATTTTTCAAATGTTATAATTTTTGTGCTTTTAATTCAATTTTTTTTTAATCATTATTAAAATTTCTCTAAAGTTGTTTTCTGTTTTCGCCCTTGTTCAGTACAGATTTCAAATGTTTCATATTGTTTTTTTTTTCTTTACAATGGCTCCTACTGTTGTAAATATCTGTAAGTTTTTGGAATTTTCTTTAAGTATTTCCTTGTTTAACCAATAACAAGTTTTTGTTGAATAATATTTAAATATTTACTTTTGGACAGTTGCATCACTAGGGGGGTGCAGGCCACACCGGGTGACATTATCACAACCTGACACAGAGGGGTGACACCAAAATGAATAAAAAGCAAATATGCATGAACTATTTTTTCTAAAAGACCTTTTTTTTTTTTAAAGAAAATTCTAGATATAGAGGACTTTTTTTAGTTTCACCTTTTAATATGAGGGGAAGAGGGAATCTGTTTATCTCAAGGGGTGACAATAAAACTTTACTGCACTAGGTGACACCAACCTCAGCAATCCAACTGCTTTTGGATGCCATACTACACGAAGAACAAACTTTTTTTCTTTTTTTCAAAAATGTTATTAATTGCTAAGAATAATATTCTAGATATATAAATTCAATAATAAAATATTTTATAGATTCAGTAATAAATTATCAATAAAACAGTTTTGCACAATTTATTTATGTGCATGCAAATTAATACCTGTCTATAAAAATAAGCTTTTTTTATATTCTTCCATAATTTAAAATAAGGGATAGCCATAACAAATCGAAAATTTTTTGCTCTACCAGATGTCTATTTGTTTTTTTTGTTTGTAATCATTTTGTTAAAGAACATTTAAATAGAGTATCAAGTCGACAAATGAGCATTTTTAACACCACTTTCTTTTTGCACTTAATGGAGGTGTCAAAACACAAGAAGCTGTTTGTACCGTATACAGAGAGGGTACCATAGCTGAAAAAACTGCTCAATATTGGTTTGCATAGTTCAAAAGTGGCTATTTCAACCTCAAGGACACATCTTGTTCCGGGTGACCAATTGAATTTAATGAAGAGTATTTAAATCAACTTAGACATATGTCAAACAACTAGAAAATCCGCAGAGAATATAGGATCAAATAAATCAACAGTAGCAGAACATCTTCACTCAATGGAAAAGGTTTAAAAACTCAAAACCATACATGGGTGCATTACGTTTTGAACAAAACAATAAAATTCAACAGTCAACCGTTGCTGCCAGTTTGCTTGCTTATCATCTTTTAACTCACAGACATGAAAGCAAATATTTTTTTATCGCATTGTCACTAGTGACAAAAATGGTGTCTTATGGTTAAGCCCAAAAAAACAAGTGACTCTGCGAGCAAAGTTAGATCTTCACCCACAGAAGACAATGTTGTATGAATGGTGGAACTGGGAAGACATTATCCATCAGAAATAGCTTGATGGCAACCAAACAGTCAATGTAGAACATTATGTTTAACAGATGCAGCAATTAAACAACGCCATCCAGATAAAAACATCTCCACATTATCATTATGACTAGAGAGGCAATTCAAATGCTTGGTTGGGAAGCACTGCCATATCCTTCATACTCTACAAACTTAGCGCCATCGGATTTCCACCTCTTCTGATCTCTTTCAAACACTTTGTGCAGTGTTTGAAAGAGAAATTACGGGTGATGGCTAACAAATTTTTCAAATCAAGGCCGGACTATTTCTACCGAAGAAGAATTAAAAATTTTTTTGAATATTGAGAGCAAGTCATAACCAACAACAGAGAATACATTATTGATTAAATTGTTGTTATTTTGTGTTTAAAAATATAGTATTAAAAAATAAAAAAAAACGGCAAGAATTTATCGGACAACCCAATGTATGTATGTATATATGTATATATATATATATATATATATATATATATATATAAAATAAATTTTACTGAAACACTGTATATATATATATATATATATATATATATATATATATATATATATATATATATATATATATATATACATATATATATATATATACAGTGTTTCAGTAAAATTTAGTACCGCTTACATTTTTTTTCAATACTTGACAGAAAAATTTGAATAGAAATTAAACGGATTAAGATTTTTCAATTACTTTCTCTAAATTGAGTAGATAGATTAATAGTTTATCAGATATGATTTTAATTGAAATAAAAAAATTGCTAATTGGATTTAAATTAAGACAATGTAATTAGAGGTAATTATCTAAGCTGATATAAATTATCTATTAAATTTAGCACATGACTTTGGTCTTTTTGAAATTCAAAATTTCAAAAAGACCAGAAAAGCTTAGTACCTGAGACAAAAACTTCTTCATACGAAAGGTTAATGCCGAACCTAAAATTACTCACCGAGAATAAGCCAAGGATTTCAACTGCTCGTTCAGAAATCATAGTGTTAGCTATGAAACGGTAAGAAAGGTTTTAAAGGAAAAAGGAATCATTTCGTACATTGCTGCTAGAAAGCCACTTTTGACAGTACGAGACCGGTTGAGATGACTGAAATGGTGCCGAGAACATGCCAGTTGGTCAGTAGAAGATTGGGTGAAGTGTATTTTCAGTGATGAATCCAATTTCGAGGTCATAAATTGCAAAGGACGAGTTTATGTCAAAAGAAAGAAATGGCAGAAGTATGACATGCACATGGTATCACCAAGAATACAAGGCGGAGGATGGTTGTCAGGAGTCTGGGGTTGCATCTCTCATAAAGGTATTGGTCTCTGCAATACGTACACTGGTCAGATCAATCAATATAACTACAAAACAACTCTGGAGCAGCGTTTAATTCCATAAGCCTGTGAATTTTTCGGAAAACGCAAATGGATTTTTCAGCAAGATGAGGCTCCTGCACACACTGCCAAGTCGATAAAAGCCTGATTTTCAAAGAAGAAGATCCAAGTGATGCCCTGGCGTGCCCGTGGATCTTATTCAAATTTCAATATTTAAAAGGCTGTGGTGGTTTTAAATATTGAAATTTGAATTTTTTTGAAATATGCTATATTTAACTGATTTTTTTTGCTACCCTTATTTTTTATGTCTACTTGTTTTCTTTCATTTTTTTTCTTTTTTTTTTTTCTTTGCGATTTTTTTTTACTTAAATTATAAAACATACCTTATTTAATAAAATAAAAAAAAAATAATTGAAAAATCTTAATCCGTTTAATTTCTATTCAAGTTTTTCTGTCGAGTATTGAAAAAAAATGTAAGCGGTTCTAAATTTTACTGAAACACTGTATATATACATATTTACATAAACACTGTATATATATATATATATATATATATATATATATATATATATATATATATATATATATATACATATATATATATATATATATATATATATATATATATATATATACATATATATATATATATATATATATATATATATATATATATATATATATATATATATATATATATATATATATATATGTATATATTTATATATACACATATATTAAACATAAAAAGAACCTCTGACTGTGCTGGAATTACAAACTGTGGTGGTAAATTCACTTCTTGCAGATTGCAGCTGGTTTGAAAGTTTACTATATTTAGGAGAGGATTATTGATTGTAATTACATGGGTAACACTTTGTCTTACTGTTGTGGTTAAATCAATGCAGCAAACTGCTCCTGGAGCCAGTACTTTAAATGTAAGGCAATAAAACAAATATTCACCAGAAGCTTCATTTTTGAATGTTACCTAAAACAGTATATAAAAAAGAATTATACAAAAGTTTACAACAACAACATAAAATAAAATAGATTCAATAACACAAAAAAAATTTTTAATGAAAAGAGAGAACAAAAAAGATTTAAAACAATTAAAACTAAAAATTGAAGTAAAAAAAATCAAAATTAAAAAAAACATTTAAAAAAATTCGTTAAAATATTTTTCTTTTATCTGCAATTTATTTGGGTAAGAAACAAAGCTGAGATACCAAAAAAGAATACTAATAATTATTTTTATAAGAAAAAGAAGCTTAATGTCGACTTAAAAGGCAGCTTAATTCAACTTAAAAGGAAGCCTAAAATCGACTTAAAGAAAAAATTAATTTTATAGATGAATGCTCACTTAAACTATAAATTTAAAAAACATGTAAAAATTATAAATGTTTACTTTAATGCTCCAAATTCCTTCTTTATGCGCAAAAAAATTGACTTTGTATTCTTTTTTAGATAAACCGGGTACATCAATATGTTCTGCACCACCAATTTTTGTAGCTGGATCTGATTTTTCTGGTTTAATCATTTCAAATATGACATGGAATCTAAAATATTTTCTTTTAATGAAGATATTTTTAAATTACTCAATTAAAACATAAAAAATTTATCCTATAAATAAACGCCTTGTCAACATAAATCTTCATTCAAGACCCTGTATTAATAAGAAATACTTTAACAGATTTTCACAGAATTTTTGCATAAAACTATTATGTTGTTACAATTTTTATCAGAATCAAAAAAAAAGATTTCTAATTTATTAATATGCTTCAACAAAACAATTTTATCACAAAACATTGAAAAACAGCATTTAATAAATAAGTTTATGATTCTCCCTCTTAAAAATTTCACTTATAAAGTTAAAGCAGGCTTCAAACTTTGGACCTCTTGATTATCTAACTGCTTCACACGGAGTGTTCATCATGTAGTATAACTAAGCACAATATCTTTTGGGTTACATTCATTTTAAATTTTAAGAGTTTGACAAATTTTCTTCACAACAAGATTATAAAGCTACTTTAAAGCCTTATCCTTTTTTCTACATTTTTGATATGCAATTGTACACGAAGCTTTATATATTAAAACTAGAAAATTCTAATAATTAATAAAAAATGAATTTTACAAATATTTGTCAACCATTCTTATTCATTGGGATTAACAGTTCAGTCTTTTACATTCATAAAGTTTTAAGATATAAAATACTGAACAATTCTTTTTATTTTTATGTATCTCTTGTTTAAAAATTCTAAACTATAAAGTTCTCTAAATAGGTCCAAACATACATAATACATACATCATACATCATACATAAGTCACTTCACCTCATCTTACGTTAGCTCTTAGAGTCACCTCACCTCATCCTTGTTATCACATTATAAAAATTTTTTCATAATGTGATAACAAGGATGAGGTTAGGTGAGTCTAAGAGCTAACGTAAGATGAGGTGAGGTGACTTATGTAAGATTTGATTGGACCTAGCTTAGAGAATTTTATAGTTTAGAACTTTTAAACGAGAGATACATAAAAAAAAAAACAATTGTTCAGCATTTTATCCAACATCTTTGAACAAATTTTACATATAACATCTTTGAAGAAATTAATAATGAGTTTATATTTGTGATATTTGTTCTAAACTTATAATGTACATTTTATCTGTCATTTTTTCAAGAAAAAGACAATACTGTTTCTTTCTTAAAAAATTTAACATTTTTCATAATTTTATTGAGCTCAATAACATATCTTGCCAAAAACTTTGCTAAACAATAGAATATCCACTTACATTGTGAACATGTAAAATTTATTTGAGAAACAATTATAAAAGTAAACAAAAAAAAAAAAATTAAATTAATAATAAACCCAATTTATTACCAAGTTGTTTATTTTAAATCAATCACTAATACTTTTTTTATAATGAAGATTTTGATAAGAATTGATGACCACAACCAGAAGCAAAAAAAGATTTTTTCAGTATATTTGAAAAATACGTTTGTGGTAAACAATGAAAAAATACCTTTGTGGTAAATAATGAAAAAATACCTTTGTGGCTTTTTCAGCCAGTTGCTCACATTAAGTAGTTCAGTGCATGGAATCTTACATGGGACCTCTCTCACTATATTATTTATAGGTTTAGGAGCTTCAGAAGTACCAACCAAATTATATAATAAACCAGATCCATCAGGTAGAGGAAAGAATATTGAGCCCTATGTTTTTATAAAAGAACTCTTTTTAAAAAATATAGTGCAGCTTACTATTTTAAGAATAAACTACAAAAGAGTAAGTAAGTTAACTTATAAGTAAATCAATAAAAATTTCTTACACTATGTTTCTTAGTAAGTAAATTAATAAAACTTACATTATGTTTCTTTGTTTCTTGGGTCATTGTAAGAGGTCGATAAACAATCTCATAAGGTTTATTTTCTTGGGGTTCCACAACAAAGGTTTCTGCACCTAACCAATACTCCCCATCAATAACTGGCTTTAATGTCCATAAATGATTAGTTTTGTTATGAATGAAAACAGTTTTTGCATCTCGATTCCGAACATGACTTATAAAATATATAGACTGTAAAAGATAAAAATAAATAACATTTTTAAAAGTCAAAATTTATACACAACAAATAAAAACAAGGTCTAGTATAAAAAAAATATTAGACAAATACTTTATATTGTTTATTTCTAGCATAAAGTAATGTTAGTCAAAATAAATAACCCATTCACATTGATGATAAAACATATTTTATTTTAAAAGAATACTAAGTTGTTAATGTAAAAAACTGCATAAAACAACAATAAAACTGCATGTTGTTTTGTCTATATAAAAAGCTTATGTTAATATAAAGCAACTTCAACATGTTTTTTTATTGCTGTTTTATACAGTTTATAACATTAAAAACATACAATGTTTTTATTGTCAAATGTTAGTCGAAACTTACATCCTTTATAATATAATGTAAAGTATCTTGCATAAAATGTCAAAACTTACATCCTTCATAATATAATATAAAGTATCTTGCATAAAATGTCAAAACTTACATCCTTCATAGGAATCCTTGGAATGCATGAACCAACAAGATTTAATAACAAAAATTTTCCATCTTCCAAATTGCATCGAAAGTCCTAAGATAACAATTCAATATATATAAAAAAAAGGTATAGCTATCAGCAGAGCTATAAAACTAAGAGTTCAATGTTTTATCGTAGAATATGTAACAACAAAATAAACTGATGGTTTAGTAGAAAAAGAAAGAACTTGACAAAGTAAACATGTGGTTATACTACATAACATGTGGTTATACCACATAACATGTTATTATACCACATAACATGTGGTTATACCACATAAGACAATTAGAAATTTGTGGTTATTCTGTGTGGTAAGGTCACAATAGGTAGCGTAGAAGATATAGATATAAAGTGTAAAATTTTACAAAATAGAAGATATAGATATAAAGTGTAAAATTTTAGTAAACAATGTTTTAATCTATAAAGAAAAGCTGGTTTCTGGAAAAAAAAAAAAAGTCATTGTTAGATAAACATACAAACGGATGTACAGGGTTCCCACTTCTTAAACTGGGGCTAAAATTAAGGATTTTAAGGAGATTTAAGGAGATATTTTCCTAATATTGAAGGAGATTTGGTTGCGAACAACTATTTTTTGAAGGAAAAAGTAAGGAGAATTAAGGAAAAACATAAGCATTAAAAACGAAATCTTTCTTTTTTCAATAAATTTTAAATATAAATAGATAAACTATTATAAATAAATGAATTTATATACATCAGTAATTCCTGAACTTTTTGTGTCGTAGACCCCTTGCCATGTTTTTCGGTTTTGGGTAGACCCCCAACTTAACTGATATTGATTTTTCGTTAATTTCTAACTGTAGTGAAGTTTAGTTTTAAAAATGTCAAGTAAAAACACATGCTAAGTTTTATACATTTATTAATTGCATTTAAATTAAAAATACTTAAAATAAAATTGTGTATCTGTATACGTAACATAAAATAAATACAAAAAATAAACTAAGCAATAAGTAAATTTTTTTAGTGAGAAGGATGAATCTGATGCTTTAATAATAAATTATCAACATTTAGCGCCAACTTTGTAATGTTTAATCTTAAATCTTTTCGGCTAATGATGTCCAGTCTGTTTCTTTTTTTTGTTAGGAGGTCGGTAACAACGCTGAATCCTCTTTCCACTAGGATGAAAAATTTCCTTGCTATATTCCATAATACGGGATAAGTAAAGGGTATGATGTTTTGCATCCAGAATTGCTGATATCCGTTTTTAAACTGAACCTTAAGTTCTTTGTTTGTACTTAGTGCAATCAGTTCCTCTTGTATTATGACAATTGTTTCTTCTATCTCACCATATGAATTAATTATCCACGGTGGTATTACCATAGTCAAAACATCCTCAAACCTAGTTTCAAAATCTCAATAGAGGCCATTTAAATGTTGAACGTAGGTTGAAACGCTGTCTTCCAGACAGTTTGTCTGTGACAAACTGGGGAACTGGGAAAGTTTCTCCCGTTCAATATTTTGCTTCATTAGTTTAACTCTGGCAAGAAATGCTGATAAAATAGATTTGTTTTAATCAAATTTAGATTAAAACAAATTGTCGCCTTGTAACTGCAAGTTAACCATATTAAATTTTGTAAACAAATCTGTTAAATAAGCAATGTCTTTTTCCATTTTATTAAATTGTCTTTTAAAATTTTATTTTTAGTATCCAAAAATTCTAAAATAGTCTCAAAAAGTCCAAAGAATCTTGTTAAACATAAGTCTTTTCGACAACCAGCGTACTTCAGTGTGAAAAAGTAACTGATGAAAGTATTCGTCATTTTCTTCACACAACTGTGCAAATAACCACGTATTCAACGCGTTGCTTCGGATTCGGTTTACTGCATGAATGACTAATTGAAGAAATTGATGCAATCCAGTGCTCAAATTTTCAGCAACCAAATGTTGCCAACGGATTATGCAATGTATTGTAAACACCCCTGGCACATTTTGCTTTAAATAGCTCATAAATCTGTGATAACGTCCAACCATAGCAGGTGCTCCATCAGTAGTTACTGATAAGATATTTGATAAAGGGATTGCTTTTACAATAAAGTAATCCTTTAAAACATTAAATATTGATTCCCTTTTAGCGTCGGTTGTCAACGTTCTTGCGAAGAGCAGTTCTTCGTGAATTTCTTGATTCATAATAAAATGAACATATGTCAATAATAATGCTGCATTACCAGGTAAAGTTGACTCCTCTAGTTGTATAGAGAAATGTGTCGTTTACAAATAATTACACAAGAAGCAATCAATATCAGAACTTATTTCATCAATAAGCCTTTTAACAGTATTGTTGCTTAAGGGAATTATTTTAATGATATCAGATGCAGGTTTGTGTAAAACAGTTTTTAAAACCACTTCAACGGCTGGCAAAATTATCTTCCCTTCGATAGTATGCGGTTTTCTGGAATTTGCTATAAGTAGCGAGATGTTGTAAGATGCTCGCAAACCATCATCAATTCTTTGTGATGTCAAAGCAAACAATCTGTCCAGCGTGGGTCTACTCTAAAGTTTACCTCTAAGTGTTTGAAAGTATTTCAAATCTTTATCTGCTTTATCAGGGTGACATCTTTTCAGATAATCTTTCAGCCTAGATGATTTCATAGCGTCATTGCCCAAAATTTTGTTGCATAAAAGACACATAAGCAATTGTTTGTCCTTCATTGAGGGAATGAAGCCAAACTTCAAATATCAACACTGTACTGTCAACATTTCTTTTTAAATTTGGGCATGGCATCAGTCATCTGTGGGAATAATTATTCTATTTAAAAAACATAAAATTCAGCATTTAAAAATCAAAATCAAATTTAAATCATATAGTCTTAGCACACAACCGTATTATATCAATCATGTCACACAACAGTCATTAAATTTTTTCTATTATTATTAAAACTCTTTCATTTCTCTTCTTCTTTGTGAGTAAAAATGTCGTCAAATATAAAAATTTAATGGCATTGAATTTCAAGTAGGAGAGCAACAACAGTTTAAATAGACCTGGTAATTAAATGTATTGTAAAAATGTTCGGTACTTTCATAATTTTTTTTAAGCTAAGGAACTCAATTTTCAATGAACAAATGCGGGTAACAAGTTTAGTCAATCAGCTAGTCACGTATGGCAGTACTTTGTGCATGTCTGCTCTGCCGCGATCATTTTGCTGAGTGCAATTGATTAAATTTAGTGAGTCAGTGGGGAAGTATAATGTAAGCAAATAGGTACTATCAGTGTATGTTGAGATCCACTATCGTGGACCCCTATTTTAATTTCATAGACCCCTAAATATTTATTCCGCTGATGTAGAACTCTTGCAGGTTGTCATAGACCCCTGAGCGTCTATATAGACCACTTTAAGAATCACTGATATATATAAATACATATATATATATATATATGTGTGTGTGTGTGTGTGTGTGTGTGTGTGTGTGTGTGTGTGTGTATGTGTGTGTGTGTTTTTGTGTGTGTGTGTGTGTGTATGTGTGTGTGTGTATATGTGTGTGTATATATATGTGTGTATATATATATATATATATATATATATATATATATATATATATATATTTGTTGTCAACATATAAGGTTTTTTTCGGACAAGTTTTTTTTTTTAACATATAGCTTCTCTAGTAACTTTTGGTTTTTGCAAGCAGCTCTATTTAATGTATTAGATTTTGATATATCAGCTTTAATGTCATCTAATTAGAATCATAAGGAATCATTATATAATGATACAACATTTAGTAATATAAACTAAAAAACAATTTTATTTAAGGCATAAACATAAGGTTATTCTTCATTTTATTTTTTAGCATGGAATCCAATTTTATCAGATGACTTCTTTAAATTCTCAATTAGAGATAATGTCTGTTGAATTCAGGATTGACAATTTCAATATCTTCTATAATTTTTCTTTTTGCTTCCACTTTCACTGTTTTTTTCTACAGACAGAGCTTTTGAACGTTGATCATCAAAATACTTCTTTCTTGCTTGTTTGCAGTAATCTAACAAATCTTTTATTATTTCATATTCATGTAGTAACAAATCTTTTGTTACTTCATGAGCCATAAACCCATGAAATGTGAGGTAGCCTTGGATTGAATATAGAGAGATGATAGTGTCTGGGGACATATTGTCATCGATCAGACTTTTATTGCTGCTAAATCCTCATTCAACTTGAGCTTGTCCGTGCGATAAAATAAAGACAATTTTGAAAAAGTGCTGTAGATTTGCATACATCTTTAAGTCAGTGTATTTCCACAAAAAGTAGTTCAAACAATCCTTATCTTTATCAAAAGTCAAAAACACTTCTTTGTTATCAACGACCACACTTTTACAGAGCCTGGAATATTCATTCTCAGCTAAACCACTAATAGAAGCTCTAATTTTCTTGT